CTGTCTAGTTTTTAAATGAAACTCTTGTGGAGAACTTTTGGAAAATGTTTGTGGGCGAATAAAAAGGCTACTACTTTGAAAGGCTAACAAAACAAATCGTTTAAAAGTCCACAAATCATTCACGAGTCCACAATAAACAGNGAAGGCGCGCTGTCTAGTTTTTAAATGAAACTCTTGTGGAGAACTTTTGGAAAATGTTTGTGGGCGAATAAAAAGGCTACTAGACTGAAAGTCTAACAAAACGAATCGTTTAAAAGTCCACAAATCATTCACAAGTTCACAACAAACAGATAAAAATTTAAACTGGTAAAGACGTTGATTGTTTGCATTTTCAGGGAGTAGCACCAGGGAGTGTAGTGCTCTTACAGGGAGGAATAGAAAAGAATCGCTACAATACTGATGCAGAAGACTTACCATTCAGACAGGTACTTATTTTCTATGGTAATGTGTTCCATTTCAACAAACTCTACGTTCGGTCCAGGAATCCTACTTCTTCTGGACTTTCGGTGTCCATGAAAGCGACTTTTTTGGAGCAGTCGATGTGGATTCTGGAAAATCGTGTCTTTTTCCGCCAACTTTGAATCCCAGCTATGCTATTTGGGATGGCAAGTATGTTCGATACACATTACTTACTTACCAGTTGAACATATGAGTTAATGTTATATTGCGTAACACACCTCCTTTTGAGAATCAACGACGAATCGTTTTTCAAGAACAAGTACGAAGTCGATGATGTTCATTTCCATAATGAAAATGCCATCAGCAATTATCTAAAGGGCCTAAATGCGAAAAAAGTTCTGCTTCTGGTAGGAAATATACTTATTCTCAGAAAATCTCATTCAGAACCTTCTGTTTTATTGTTGGAAATTCACCTTTTAGTAATAGATTTTGTTCTTTTCTAGAAAGCGGAAAACAGCGACAGCGGAAACGTTTTAGAGCCACCAACTTTTCCTGGCAAAGAATCGTACGTTTTTACAAAGTCGAAGTGGCTTTGTCTTTTCCCATTGAGCAAATTAGGAAATAGCCTCGAAAACCATTCTCATGGTTATTCGTTCGTCCAAAAAGTGATGACCAAACTTTTGTTTAGATTTGACGTCGATGACAACAAGCTATACCCTGTCATGGCTGAATTGCGCGTTTTCAAAACGGACAAAGAATTAGAAGTTAGTACTTTTACGCCCATACCTTTCGAAAAGCTTTTTTAAATGATTCGCAAGTTATTTTTCTGAAATATACATTTGTATTTAAGGTAATGAGATATGCTAGCAAAATCGCTTCTGAGGCTCATCGTGTGGCTATGAAAGCAGTACGCGCCGGTCTATACGAATATCAAATGGAAAGGTAATGAATGCATTAGACGATTAAACTTGAGTATTTAAATGTTTTATTTATTCTACAAACAAAAATGCATGGAACCAAATTACGTTTGTGATAATTCGCTAACTTTCTTTAAATTCAGCTAATCACTTGTAGTCAGCACTTTGTCCGTATACTTGCATGCTGTTTATACAATATAATTCCTTAAAATTTGTGAATTTGAGATTTAATATCTCTTTGATTCAAATGTCTACTGCAGCTAGTAATTATAACCCACTAGTCGACATATTTGTTGCAGCATTTTCCGTCATGCATCTTACTATCATGGTGGATGTCGTCACTTAGCCTACACATGCATTGTAGCATCGTAAGTTCATTCCATGAGGTGTCTCAACCTTTACGCATGACGTTTTCATCTTCATAGTGTTTTATGCTCTATTTATGTGTTTATTTATCAACCGTTAGTTGTGAGATTTCTTTTGGATCTTGTTAGAGATGCAAAGGAGTAGGTATTAGACAGAGGATCCCTCAACCTAAAAGGCATAGAAAACCGTGGACCGCATCGATTCCTTTTGAAGGGCTCATTCATGCCCTGAGAGGGAGTGAGGCATTTTTTCAAAGTAGAATCAT